AATTCTTTTATGATCAGAATATGGATGCAAGAATTTTAGAATTGAGAACTTCCATGTCTATGTGATTTAGTTATATCAACTTTCATTGTTTTAATTTATAGTAATAACAGAGGACTGTCAGTTGAGAGGAATATCTTCAATGCCTCAGGACTGCAACATTTCACTTAACTCATTGCCTTCACCTGTGCCTGAGGTGAAACAAGAAGTAATTACAGCTAAATCACCTCATGTCCAGAGCAGTGTGCATGAAGAGTGTGCTTGGTTTTCTGTCGAAGAGGCAAGAACAAAATCACCTGTATTTGAACAGGTTTATCAAAGGGAAGAATTCCAACAACTTTTAGCTTCAATTTTGGCCTCAGAAGAGAGATAGTACAAAATAACTTCCACCCAAAGTGTAAAATTATATTACCTGTACTTATTGAAAATTAGCAGCCTTGTTACAAATTGATCCTCTGTTTTATCAAATCCAATGAATTTTTATTTTAGCAAATACTTTTTCTGTCTGTTATCCACTACCTGAGTAAGAGATATAGTTTTAAGTCATTAAGGTCTGTTTTTTGTTTTTAATTCTAAGCCACAGCTAGTAGTACAGATTGTTTGATTGACTTCTGTAACCCTTTAACTCCAAGATCAGATTGTTACCTCTCCCCTTTTGCTGTGACTCATTTCCTTGTAAACAAGTTACAAGAATTTTTTGTTAGATCAAGATGACAACATATACCTGATAAGATGAAATTAAGAGATCCTCGCAGCTAAGAACACTACTGAAACGAGTAGTTGTAAATTGGACCTGAAAAAAATTCAGGCCCGTACGGGATTTGAACCCATGACCTCTGCGATACCGGTGCAGCGCTCTACCAATTGAGCTAATAAGCCAACTGGGAGCTGGTCAATGAATTGGGTACAAATAAACATCCAAGTGAATGATGATTTTAGATATATGAAAATTCATATATTTGCACTGCGGTGGAGAGATGAAATTAAGAGATCCTCGCAGCTAAGAACACTACTGAAACGAGTAGTTGTAAATTGGACCTGAAAAAAAAAATAAAAAATAAAAAATAAAAAAAAACCGCAGTGCAAATATATGAATTTTCATATATCTAAAATCATCATATACCTGATAAGTTTGAGTATTCTTATTACCTGTTTGCTGGATAATGTATGGATATTGTTGGGAGACATTACCTTTGGATCACTTCAGGGAGTTAAAGGGTTAAACCAGAGAGCATGGGAGTTCCCATCCCAAAATGAATTACTTTGAATAAAAGTTTTTGGTAAAATTATAAGTTATGTTTCATGAGAGAGACAAAAAGGTGACTCATGAAAAGTGAAATCCACTGTTGTCATTCATTGTAGAATTTGAGATATAATTGAAGAAAAGTGGATGGGAACTTAAATTAAGAATTTTAGCAACTATTGTAAATTTTATATTTGAAGAAGTCTTTGAAAGAATTTCTCATGGTCCAAGGGTGACTTCTGACCATTTTCTCAGAAAGTGTCTTAATTAAACAAAGCATTTTGTTATTAATGAGTGTTGATAATTTTGAGATGAAGTATTTCTTTGGATGTCTATCAAAAAGAAGTCATTCCACTTTTGCTTTCCATTAAGAAACTGTTACTACTAACTTATTTTAAAATCGTTTTAAAATCATTCACCTGAATCACCAAATGTTTTAGTAATTTCATACCTATCAGTGAAGAATGACAACAATAATGTACATCACGAATATCTTTTATTTACCCTAAGCTCCTACACAGCTAAAACTGTCTGTTCAGAATGAAAGATCTTGTTTGAATTTTATATGAATGTAGCAGTAAAAGAAAAACAAATCAGCAGGAATTTTGTGACAGAACAAAGATTATACACCATTACTAACCCTCCTGTACTTGAAAGAAGGTAAACAAACAGAATGCTGTCTCAAAGGAAATCCAAACTACATTGTATGTTCTGCATTAAATTTTACTTTCATTTTAATGTTTTTCTCAGGACAACATTAAAATCCAGCACACATGTATTTAGTATTGATTTGAAATGAATTCTTGTTGCTATTATGCAAGATCACTCATCTTAAATTTGTAATTACAATGGCAACTTAAAGCAAATGAGGAAATTCCATATAGTACCCAATGTGATCAGTATTTTTTTTAAACACAGCCCAGGGGTTATCAAAATCATATTTGCAGAAGGTGGTGTTATAGCATACTTTGAGGTTCTTTATCAACTAAAACTGGAGCATAACTTAAGTGCTAGGAAATGACTATATTGAGATGGTGAGAGAAATATTATTTTGCAGACCCAAGTGACTGATCCAATCATTTTTGGTCCTTTAACACCCAAAATCTGACTGTTAATTCTCCACTTTAGCTGCTAGATATTTCTTTAACTTAGTCAGGCAAGTTTGGTGTTCAGTATTAGTATTTTTGCTGCCTGTATGGATATTATAGGGAGAAGGTGAATGTTAATCACTTATGGGTTGGGATTAAGAGAGTTAACAGTGGAAGATCCAGTTCAGTTAACCCTGTAACCCACAAGAGTGACCACCATCTAATTTCTCCTCATGATATCACCCCTGAATCAAACTTAAGGTCATATGCATAAGGAAATTATAACCCACTAAAGCAGTTCTTGATTGATGAACAAACTCTCCTTGTCAATACCTTGGGAGATGGAAAGAGAACAGCATGAAGATTATGCATACTGATGTTAGGGTGTAAACGGTTATTGGATGAACTCTGAAGTCTCCTTAACTTTGGGCCCTACTTCTGGATCAGTCACTGAATGTCAATTGTAGTAGCACAATTAAAAGAGAAGACCAGCCCTACATTAAAACTTTAATCAAAACTATAACAAAATTCTTGAATGTGATTGGTTATCACCAGCCTGATTTGAGCACCAATAGGACAGCATAGTTGTGTCATGCTTGTAATTGGACAGTGAAATAGGAGTTAAAGGGACAGTTCACATATCTGATGCCTGTGTAAGTGGACAGAATGCATCACAAGCGCGCGCTGTTGTCTTGCATTTCACTGAGTTAAATGTTGATATTTTTATGAAAATGTATAACCAATGTCTAGTTTCTTTCTCAAATTTTGTCATAGTTTTGATTTATTAGTAACAGGACTTTGTGTTGTCCAATTCTGTCTGTAACCATACTCGTGATTAACAAATTGGATTCCAGCTTTGCGGTGGTCCAATTTTGTTAATCACTCGTATGATTACTGACCAAATTGGACTCCATTCAGTCCTATTACCATAATATAAATAAACAACATGTATGTATCATAGAATGAAAATTTAACTATTATAGTAATCATTTCATTACTGTTTTTGAATCCAGTAAGTCACCCACTAATTACTTGTTAGGTTGCAAGAGTTAGTGGAAAATATTTTCAAAGATTCTTTTAATCAATTGAACACTGAAATGTTAGCAAATGTCATTGATAATTTTATCTTGGGTTGTAGTGTATATATTGAATCAAGTAGGATTATAATCTGCACAAAGTACTGTACAAGGCATACTTAAAATATCAATGGTCAAGTGTTACCACATGCCAGCTCTCTTCACTTTAAAAGAGTGATAAGCTAGGTTGTAGTGTATATAATGAATCAGGTGGGATTATACTCTGCGTTAAGTACTGTGCAAGGTGTACTTAAAACATCAATGGTCAAGTGTTACCACATGCCGGTTCTCTTCACTTTAAAAGAGCGATAAGCTAGGTTGTAGTGTATATAATGAATCAGGTGGGATTATACTCTGCGTTAAGTACTGTGCAAGGTGTACTTAAAACACCAATGGTCAAGTGTTATCACATGCTGGTTCTCTTCACTTTAAAAGAGCGATAAGCTAGGTTGTAGTGTATATAATGAATCAGGTGGGATTATACTCTGCGTTAAGTACTGTGCAAGGTGTACTTAAAACATCAATGGTCAAGTGTTACCACATGCCGGTTCTCTTCACTTAAAAGTGTGATAAGCAGGGTTGTAGTGTATATATTGAAACAGGTGGGATCATACTCTGTGTAAAGTACTGTACAAGGTGTACTTAAAACACCAATGGTCAAGTGTTATCACATGCTGGTTCTCTTCACTTTAAAAGAGCGATAAGCTAGGTTGTAGTGTATATAATGAATCAGGTGGGATTATACTCTGCGTTAAGTACTGTGCAAGGTGTACTTAAAACATCAATGGTCAAGTGTTACCACATGCCAGCTCTCTTCACTTAAAAGTGTGATAAGCAGGGTTGTAGTGTATATATTGAAACAGGTGGGTTCATATTCTGTGTAAAGTACTGTACAAGGTGTACTTAAAATATCAATGGTCAAGTGTTACCACATGCCAGCTCTCTTCACTTTAAAAGAGTGATAAGCTAGGTTGTAGTGTATATAATGAATCAGGTGGGATTATACTCTGCATAAAGTACTGTAAGAATTGTGTATCAATGGTCAAGTGTTACCACATGCCGGTTCTCTTCACTTAAAAGTGTGATAAGCTTAAGGTTGTAGTGTATATATTGAATCAGGAGGGATTATACTCTGCATAAAGTACTGTAAGAATTGTACTTAAAAGATCAATGGTCAAGTGTTACCACGTGCTGGTTCCCTTCTCTTAAAAAGAGTGTTAAGCTAGGTTGTAGTGTATATATTGAAACAGGTGGGATCATACTCTGTGTAAAGTACTGTACAAGGTGTACTTAAAATATCAATGGTCAAGTGTTACCACCTGCTGGTTCTCTTCAAATTAAAAGTTAGAGTAATAAGCAGCAGCCTTGTTTTGTCCAAACCTGTAAAAAGGGAGAGTGATCAACCTGTGTAGACACCCCTAATGGTGAACGGCAAAAGGTTCAAAAAGGTCTTGTTGCTGAACACAAAGTTTGCTGAATCACAATCTCTGATTTCTTACTTTTTACATGTAATTTTTTTTTTTTGGTAATACAACTATATTAATGATATATTGGGACAGTACATGATGTTTTGAAAGAGGAATCATTACTAAAAAATAGTGTACTGAAAAAAAAATTTATTTTCCTTTTTGTTTTGTGTGGTTCTATACTTGATCTTAATTCAGTACCTGTTTCTAATTAAATTATATATTTTAAGCCCCTTTTCTTGGAAGTATAATTTTCAACAATGTGGATATAGGCAAAGACTGAGAACAACAACAAAAGTCAATACCAGTTTGCTGGTTATATTCCCCTGCTGTATCAGAAGGGACCTTACAGAATGACAGCTATTGTATCTAGGCAAGGCCAATCAACAACTGTTTTCCTCTGGAGCTCCACAATTTAGATCCAGTCTGGTTTTGGATTAGTGCTACATCTGTTTTTGAATTACTAAGATTTTCAGTTCAGTGAGACATAACAGAAATTTGGAGACCACATTTTGACATTTAAATTGCCTTGTCACGAGCATGTTTCTCATCACAACATGCCATTTAACCTTTTGGTGAACTTTCATGTTTGACAGTTGGCAGAAAGGGTTGCCTCTGACAGCCATTTTGCCGTCAAAACCAACACAAACTGAATTTCATGACCATATGCACAGCTATTGGTTTTGCTTGTCAAGTTCTTTGTTTGAAAATGTTCTCATCATAGTGGCTGTCATGCTTGTCATAATATAAGGTCCCTTCCATTTAACTAATATTTTGTTATCAAAAAGGTGTGCCAGTATTTTACATCATTATGCCAGTTCTGATAAAAATATTTTACAATGGTAGATATTTATTCTACCTCACAGAGATCCACTTTGGGTGGACTTGAAATATAGAATACTGATACAATATGTCAATGGCCTAAAGGCCTACATTTTCATGTGCTGATAATGCACATAACTTATATCTAGATTGTTAAAAAGAACACTGAAAACCCAACTATGATTTTTTGGATGCTCTGAGATGGATAGTTATACAGATTCACACAATTTATGTTGCCTGATTGTTTGCAATCCTTAAGGAACATTTCTGAGAAAGTTCTGGGCTTGCTCTGATCAGAGGCCATTTTATAAAGAAAGAAAATGACCTCATTAAGGGAAGTGAGATGGACAAAGAGGAAGGGAAATGTGTCAACAAACTATCTGATAATCAGGCAATTACCAAATGCAACGATATTATAAATCAGTGTCTTAAAATCTAAAATGTGTTATATATTAAACTGCTATCTTATGAAATGGAAATTGCTAAATATATATATACTACAATTAACATCTTTAAATAGTCCTCGTTCAGTAAAGTTCAAATTGCTAACTATTTTCGTTAGTAAATTGCCATGTTCAAAGAGATTTTAAAGTATCTTGAATATATGATTTGTCAACAATCCATTCAAAATCTGTAAATTATCAAAGTTAATTCTTTAACTCCCAAGCTCTGATTTTTCACTCTCTAGTCTTGTTGCTAAACACTTCATTGTAAATTAGTTACAAGAATTTGGCATTAGATCAAGGCAACAACTTCTACCTGATGAGTTCGTAGTCTCATCACCTGTTTGCTGGTTGGTGAATGGATATTATAGGAAGAAGTTGCATGTTAATCTCTTCTGGGAGTTAAAGGGTAAATCTCACACATATAAATAAAATTTTGCTCACTTTACCATAAATAACCTCTGACACAAAATGACTTTTGAGATAAAAAAAGAAAAGAAATACCTTAACCTACAGAGAATTACTGAAAATCAAAAAAAAAATTTAACTTCACTTTTCAATAGGTGGTATGAACAAATTTTTAAATGATATTAAAAATTTAAACAAGTTGTTAATGTTACCTAGACAATATGCATAGACATAACTATTCTACTAAAATACGTTTGCATTAAATGAAAGCAACTGAATATTCTCAAATAATTATTTTAAAAGGAGTTTTAGTGACAATAAAATTCTACATAACAAGCTTAAGCTGCCTTTAAGTTAACAGGAAATTATGCATGTACCATCCTGAGTACATGACAACTTGGAATAAAACAATGATGATGGCCAAAGTATACCTGCCAACATTTAATTTTTTTTTCATGTTGTTGAGATTTCCATATCCATATAACCTTGCCTTTTAAAAATGCTCCTTCAACAACTGAAAATTTCTAAGAAATTCCTTCTAACAACTGAAAATCAATCAAATGCACTGTTGATTGCAATGGTATTTTAGGCTACTGCTGGGGTTTTCAATGACCATTCCATTAATGGCTGCCGATGTTGTAATAGGCGGCTGTGCTGTAAGGTGATACCCAAACACGAGAGCTTAAGACTTAACCTTTAACTCCCAAGATCTGACTGTTAATTCTCTCCTCTTGCTTAGTCGCGAGAAGTTGGTGTAAGATCAAGACAAAAACTTCTTCCCGATAAGTTTTGGTATTCTCATTAACCATTTGCTAAAAAACCATTGCATATCATAGGGAGATGTTACATGTCAGTCACTTCTGGGAGTTAAAGGGTTAACTGACCACAGTGAGAGGTCTGACAGGTAGCAGTAGATCACCACTAACCGGCTTTTATGGAAACCTTTACTACTGTCAACCATGTTGCAGATCTCTTGAGCAAGTACTGATGTTCAGAGGATTTACAAGGTCATGCTCCTAAATAATGACTGGCAGATTTCTATCCATATTCCTTTTGTCTGCTTAACATTACCATTACAATAGTAATTTCTAGTAGGGTGAAAGAACATCACAAGTTTGGTTCTGAATGTCAAAGTTCAAATTAATGTTATTTAAAGGTGCAGTGAAGAACAAAGGACAAATGTGACAGACTGATGACTAGCACATGAGAATCAAAGTCCCCTATGGAAAAGGTTGATGTTTTCAGTTTTACAGTCAGCAGGTATACCTTACACATTGCTCAATGAATTCATTGTCAAGTGGACTACGAAAATTGGAGCTAAAGAGGGCTGTGCCTTGAAAGCAAATCAGAGGCCAAAATTGTGATGATGCACTGATCAAATTCTGAAAGCTGGAAGTTGAACCTAGGACAATATTAAAGCTGGAACACAGACAGAGTTGTGTGTGAGCAGGATAAAAAACAAAAACAGGAAATGAAATTCCTGGTCAAATGATATGTCACACCCTAGACCGATAATTCAAACAAACTCAAACACTAGTTTCAAAACAGATGATATAAACTATGGTCAACTGTGTCTAAAAATTTTAGTTGTAAACACAAATATGTGCTAAAGTCCACCTGGACTGTACATGTTCACACCTGAACTACAAATTTTTTCTATTCAACTGCCATTGATTCTTAATGTAAATTACTGTAAACATTGGTATACTAAACCTGCTTATTCTCACTTCATTAGGAGCAATTTCACCCCTCCATATCAAAGACTAATGCATGTGCACCTGATTTTCACATCTGCTACCAAATTAAGTTGAGTGAGGTGTGATGGAAGTTTGGCATTGATGTTAAAACTGTGTTGGTGCTGCAAATAGATCTGTTTCAAGGGGAAACATGTTGTTTGAATTCTTTTGGTAGGCTTTCACTTTGAAAACACCTTTACTTAATGGCCAAAACCTGTCACCAAACTTTTTATTCACTTAACTCAACTGAAAATTGTAGCAACAAAAAAACTTGCTCAATTAGAACTACTTTGCTTGTCTAATTTTCTACACTCACATGAAGTGAGAAAACTCTTTGGTTTGTCTTAGGAAATTTTGAGAGGTCTTGGGACATGTTGAAGTACATACATGCAACTAATTGTCAGATTTCCTCAACATCATGAAAATTTGGCATGTGTATTATACCCTTGACTTGTCCTAATTGTTACTAATTGAAGGAGCAAGCAAAGGACAGGGATTCAGGAACTCATCACTGGTTTTCTTAGTCTCCTGTCACTAACAAGAAATGAATTTTTGAAGAGATTTTTCCTTTAGACTAGTGTATATAATAATTTTATGGTGGGAACATTGTTTAACGAAAAACTCTTAAGATCAAAATCTCAATTATAAAAAGATGTTTCAATATGCTATATCTGAATAAACCCATTTGTCAGCCAAGCAGAAAAATATTTTAAGAAACAGGAAGTATGCCTTATAAAATGAATGGATGAAAATAAAAGGCCCATTTAATAGATCATGCAAGACACTCAGTAATTTAGTTAAGTAAACTCAAACAAACACATTACACACACTTTGAGGTTGGATGGTTCATCTGCTGTACATAAAAGCTGCTAATGTGCCAAGTCCCAGTGTAGTGAGAAAGACACCTTTCCACCATGCTGCATTTTCGCCTTTGTCATTAAATTGTCTATGGAGGCCTTCCTAAAAGAAATGACATAATGTCAATTGATGGTAAAGTTAATTAATGGTAAGGGGGCAGTGTGGCCAAGTGGATTAAGGGCTCTCGGTTTGTAACCTGGTGATCCTGGGCTTAAGTCCTTCACCCTGTTACTAAATTTACTTTATCTCTGTTGCCTTAAGTTAATCTCTTTCCTATACAGTCAAGTGGTCTGTCTCCTGCCAGGTAGGATTTTGCAAACAATATGTTTATTTACAATATTTGTTCCAATTTGTTTCTTTCTGGTCAAACCTGATAAAATAAAGTGTATTATTATTATTATTATTGTTAATATTTTTATTATCATTATTATTATTATTATTGTTATTATTGTTATTATCATCAAGACTCCACATGTTATAAATACCAATCAAAAATGCATGAGCTTTACCAACATAAGTGGATATTGGCTATGCAAATCCTTCTTTGTGATTTTAAAGACAGCGAGGCCAATATCCAGCTGTCTTCACTGAACATGCTAAGTCAATAAGGGATTTATTACATCGCAAAAAGAAAAACACAAAAGAATTGTAATATCAATTCTTAAAACTCAACAGGGTTTTCTATTATTGCCAGTCACCAAAGCATACTTTGTGATTGAATTGTTTTCAAAGCTAATAAAAATATGTTTCCCTGATGGAGAAAACATTTTCTTAGGCCACAAAGTGTTCAAAGCAGCCCTAAAGAATTCTTGAGTTATACGCAATAAAAGCCTGCAATTCTGATAAGGGCAAAATAGACATAGCTAGCAGGTTTGAGTGAAAATAATACTTCTCCTTTCTGTCTGCCATTCTTTTTTTTTTTAATGTTAGATGTGAAGTTAAGAGTTGTATCATGTGATAAACCCATGTCAATATTTTTCTATATTTATACTCATCACCTGTCTACTTGAGATTTTACTGATGTTGTATAAAGGAGAAATAATTTCTTGGTAAATCTTGGAAGTAAGAGGATTAATGCTGGATGCTAATCTTAGAATCTTTCAGACTTAATATGGTTCTGTTTCAATGGTCTTCTAGTACATAAAAATGGCACTAGATCAAACAAAATATTCTGAGAATTATGTGATTTGCATGTTTCAGCATTCCAGTTTATTTCCTAACAGGCACCCACACTTTTTGATTACCACTAAATTTGGATGGCTGCATGGCAGCCCACACAAGAATAACACAAATGCTGACTGACAACCAAAGGAAATCTAAAAGCTGCAACGCCTGATTTTGGATCATGTCCCTGCATTTCTTTCCCCCACCCCCCCTGCAAAAATTTTTCTCTAAATCTCTTCATCCCAGTCTTGAAGTTAAGTCAATAAAGTTGACGAGAATTGCCCAAAATCAAAGAAAATCCACAAAAATAACCACTATTCTTACTACCAGCAACCTCAAAATTTCTTAACACAGAAAAAATTTCCTTCACTTTAGCTCATTTTCAGAAAATAAAGATCATGTTTTCTTCAGCAGATTAAGTGAGCTATGCTGCAGACTCAGTTAGTTCATATAAATACACCAGAAAAGGGACATATTTAGTAAAAAATCTGACCTAACAACCGTAAATGTCCCAGCAAAAGTATTATCAAAAGGTTTACAGTATTTGATGAAATCTTTCAACTAGTTGACTACTTTAGATATTCATGCTAACTTTTTCCAAAACATTTTATAAGAGACTTGAATATTTCGATTTATAAAAATCTTCAAAACAGACTGAACTTTGATCTGGACTTGTTATTTTCAGTCAAATAAAAATCAATTCTGTTTATTCTTTGGTAATTGCATAGTTTCCATTGTTTACATGAATGCCTGGGCTGTTCAATATTGCTGTGGTTACCTTTCTCAAAAAGCGCTTCTCATGCCAGACATAATTTGTTTTAAAAAGAGTCTCTTAGGAGAAGAAGTTTCTAGATTATTAGAAAACTGAAAACAAGGCTGAACAAGTCCTGTTGATTGTACAAAAACGAAAACTATGTTAATATGCTGTGATTAACTGCTGAAGATTCCAAAGAATTTGACACATCTGTCACTGAAAGCTTACGACTGTGCTTGCAAACTGCTTTCTCAGCACTTTCGCTTTTTCATCAGTGACCCGCCATGTGAAAATTCTAATCAGTTCGCGCAGGCAACATGATTGGTTTAATCTTGCACAAGGACGTACTACGTAAAAGTACACATGTACAACATCTTGTACGTTGAAGCTCTCAGGTAATACGTTTTGCGCAAAAGTTAAGTGAACATTTTCTGAGATCATCCACAGGGTGGCATAGAGGTGATTTTCGTGAAGGTCGTATTTTATAATTAAAATATGACAAATCATTTCAAATACTCCTCCACATATGCAACGACTTCCCGCAATCAGTGAGAAAAATTCTAAAAATGTTCCTATCCAACAAAAAACACGCTTAGCAATTATGGTTCTTTTGTTTGAATTTTTTGTCACTATTCAGCGCTTAGGATGTAATGACGTCTGAATCTTCGAAATTTTCCCTGTCCCCGACTGATTAGAAGAAAAAGGCCTTTTATTATTTATAAATACCAGTCAGTAGCAGCTGAAACCGACATACAGTCTTCAACCTTTCTTTGTTTACGAAAGAATTTCGAATTATTACGACCCTCCAATGTCAGTCGGCGGGGTTTTAAAAATATCCAAGCGGTATTTAATGTAGTTAATTTTCGCCTCGGGTTCAAGTAAAGGACACAGAGTTAAACTAAAAATATAACACAAGACAGTACGAAGTAGATCGCATTTAAACCAGTTACCCACCCATCCACCATGGTTTTCGATCCATTCACAAAGGCCGCCAACATATCTTCCAACCCAGTCAGTTACCGATCCAACAAGCTCTTTCATATGGTGTTGATCGCAATACATAGCCAGCTTTCCTCCAAAGGCATACAAAGCTACAATCCTTCCCCAGTTAACTCCATCTACAAATACCTCACTGGCGATTTCGAAAAACGTTTGATAGACAGTTGCTGGAGTTATATTTAATTTGTGGCACAAATGGTTCAATAGTAAAGGGTATTGCTCCTCGATTTGATCGGCAAGTTTGCGTAGAGTAGCAGCAGTGGGTGATACAGGGATTGGGTTATTTCCAAGTCTGTAAGATATGAAATCTTTGGCTAGATCCTTGGCTTGTTGGGCAATCGGCGAATCATCCGCGCTGGGCAGTTTGTGTCGGCTTTCCATGAGGCTTTGAATTTTTTTGAGCATTTACTCGCACAGACCACACGCGCTTTCACTTTCTCGTCCCTTCTTCCTTCGCACTATAAAGTCTTCGTTGTGTACTGTTCGGAAGGCGTTTCTTCTCCCCATCTGCCTACAAGCGAATTTCAATGGTAAGAAAATAAAAGGGAAAATCCAGCTTTCGAAAAGCTGAGTGATTTGAAGGATTTGACGATTTCAAAAGTGGGCAAATCGAAATTACCTTCATCCATCTCCGCAGTCCAGAAAGCCGAACAGAAGTTAGAGATTACTGAATATTTATAACCTTGTCAAGGCATTTAAAATTACAGTGATCTCATTGGCCTATTTGGATGCGGGGGCGTAAGGAGGATCCTTGGACAAAATATGCTGTCCTATACAAGTGCCAGTATTGGACCAATATAGGTCTGATTCAGCGAAAACGATAACACGCGGGAGACGCGTGCTAAATGTGATTTCGCAGCAAAAACGACCAAAACACACATTCCCCTCACATGCCTAATCAGGTCCCTGTTTTCAGCCCTCTGATTGGTTGATTACGTTGCTTCGTCAAGGTTATTTTTACCACATTTTTCTCGGGGTTAAAAATTTTCTTGGACCGCCGGGAACTATTGTTTGTTTCAATTTACTATTGAAGGTGAAGAGTCGAGTTCGAATAGCGAGGAGATCTAATCTTTGATTTAACATTCGCCGAGATAATTTCTACCGTTTGATACAGTTTCTGAGGACCACAGCCTTTCCCGAGGGGAGATACGCAGTTTATATTGCCACCGTTTTGACGATTTGCACGGCTGTTGTGTTCCCGATATTCAAGAAGAGAAGTGGTTTCGCCGGTTGCCGGCTGAGTGGGTCGCAGAAGAGGACATTTTGTACATTAACAATCGCCTATTGAGATACATTTGAACAGTTCGCAAACGAAGTTTTGATTTTAAAAGGGGTTCGAGAACTGAGTGCTGCGTTAGCTGAAAGGACCCCAGCTGAAACTTACTCGTGACTGCTCCTGTCGAGATCCGTGACGGTTTGAATCTGTGCTGTAGAATATAAACATACTGAATCATGGAGTCATCTCTAAGCAGAATCACAGCGTCTAGCGATGTTAATTTTGTCGAGCAAGAAGACAGTTTGAGAAGAAGAAGCGAAAATGTGAACAGTACACGATCATCGGACCATGTGGAAAACCGCCAACAAACTGTGACGCAATCGAATTTAGAGGAGATTTTGTTAAATAATAACAATGTAACTCCGCAACAAGTTGGCCAGATCCTACAAGCCATCGGCGACGAGCTCAACAATGCGTTCAAATTTCAAGTGAGGAGCAGCAAGAATGGATAATTGGAGTAGGAGAAGGCCATTCAAGAAGGTTTCAAGAACTTAAAAATGACCGAATCGTTCACGGCGTTTTGGTATGAACCTCCATTTACATGTACTTAGGGTTCCATACGAACCTGTCGCTTTACGTTATATGCGATATTTACTTGTATTGTCGCTATTTTCCTCTGCCATCGACAACGTGGAAATGGTTTCAAGTTAAAATTGACATGCCCTTGGGAAGTGAGCTGTCATCAGCTACGGTCGACTATCAACTTGCCATTGGCTAGCCCTTGAATTTCACTGTTGAGAGATCGATGTCGTTTGTCACCCTAAATGAAAATCCCTTTGGGATAAATCGCCTGAAGTAGTTTTATGCTTCAAAATAAGAGTTTGATTCGAAAGGCTGCTGTAAATTGCAATACATTGTCGTTAGGACCTTCTAGCAGCAATAATCGGCTTCTCTTGTACATATAGTGTATCTTTAAGGGTAATAACGACGCGTTGAAAGCAGATAAATGTCGGCCATTGTTATATACATAACATTTGTAAATGCTGTTTATAAAACTTAGTTGTAGATAAAGATTAAAAAACGCTATTGTAAGAACAAACAGACGTTAAATTGGATAAGTTATTTTAAAACGCTCTTCTTGTATACAGCTAAAGATTATATTTAACATGGCCGGAAATTGGACGTGTGTCATTCGTGCGTACGTGTTTTGTTATGTACTTTGCGTAACCACCTGTTGTCAGTTTCGAAACCAGTCGTTAACAACAATAAAACACTAAATCTTTGCTGCTATTACAGCTCATTGCATCTTGTTTGTTGACTCTCTCTCAGTCTGACCATTTCATTTTCGTCGATTACGAGATCGAAATCGAAAATAGCTAGCTGGGAAGTTCACCTTGTCTGATTCGCGTCATTAATTACGTTTCGACCCTTTGTTCTTTTGTTTTTTGACAATGCTTGTACATATGTTCAATTGGTTTTACATGCGATATTTGTCAATTGACTATTGGCCTTTAATTTTATTGCATGAGGGTTGCATGAACATAAATGAATAGCAAAACGTGATTGGTAGCAGCGCTCGAAAGAAATAAGGCCTAAGCTCGACTCTTCTCGCCTCATCAAGCACTCGCTTCAGTACCATGTTGATATTGGCAGGATTTCAAATTTTGTAAATTTAATTTGAATCCTTGAAAATCATCTCATTGCATTAAACCCTCATTGTTGCTCTCTCTCTCTCCTGAGGAACCTGAAGGTGGATTAACTTATCATTCAGGGGCTTTCAGTCTGACGTTCTTTCCTTCTTTTTGAGGGGGTGAGAAAGTAGTAACAGGATCCCTTGCGACCCCATGGGTATGAACCATTATTTGACTGCCTCATGAAAGCAAGATCTTTTTGTCATCAATATTTTCTCTGCTTGAAACAGAAAGTATATTCACTCTTCACTTTTTCACTGAGTCCAGCTGGGGTGCTGATTTCATTCCATTGCATCTCAAGTCTAATTCTAAGCCTTTTCTGTTAATGAAGGACACAACAACACATAGGGTTACTTTGTGATTCTCACCAACTAATGTTTTTGTTAAGATTTAATCAAGAGAGTGTTGCTTTTTCAGGGATGCAATGAGCCTACTTAGGACAGCTCTCAAAGGGAGTGTTTGGGAAATGGGGAGAAGGGAGAAGCACGAGAAATGGTCGTCCTTATTTATTGCCTGTGGGGAGGGGAAAGGGGAGTTTGGTTGTGTCACAATAAAGTTCACTGACCCTCTATAAGGCTCTGTAATATTTTCATGATATGGTCAATTTTCTTTAGCACCCCTCTTAAACTCTGTTGGCAACGACTGATCCCCCCTTTGTTGCTCCTGAAAACTATGCGATCGCCCCACAAAAATATCCCTCCATCCCCATGGCGAGGAAAAAATGACAGGTCCCTTACCTGCAGAAGAAAGTTGAAATAAACGTATTTTTCTCACGTGTTTGTTGAAAAGAAAATTGTAAACAAGGGCGCTGAATATAGAGAATAATGACTTCCGTTAACGTGCACAAACATTGTTTTGCTCGTTGGCAACCAGGGTGATTTTTTTTTTCATTATTGTTTGGTTCACAATATCGCCGACGTTGCCGCTAGGTAAATGTTAATATTTATAATAATAGTAATTAAAAATAATATTAATAAAAATTAATAAATAGATGACTAAACACTGCCCCGCCAAGCTCACCCAACCCAAATTAAGGATACGAGGATACCCCTAGCTTGCCGACAACGAAACTCGCCAATAGGAGAACGATGGGTGTGCACCTGCTATTAGAAAACTTTGTACTTGTTCAGCCTGGCTTTGCGACACTGTCATTGAAACTGTTAAGTTATTGAGACGAAAAGCTAGCACTGACAGCAATGCTTTTCATTTCAATCAGAACTGGAAAGTTCTTTCGTTGTATGTCAGTAGGCCACCAAGTTACGGCGTTTTAAAGCGTACAACTTTCTCCGTGAAGCCCAAACAGAATGGTAAATCAACAGGATATTTGTACCTGAATAAGCTTTGTACTCGAAACGTTTCGAGTTCTCCTTTTCGCTACCACAGATTTCTATGAATGTTTCAATTTTTCTTTCGCATGTTTTGCGAGGAAGTCGTTTTTATTTTATTTTTTTTAAGTTTCCCTTTTAATTTTGAGCGGGAAATTGGCGCGCGGCCGGCCAGAACTAATTCCCTTACGTTTGACCGCTGTGTTGTCTAGCCAATGTGGTCATCGTAACGTTGGTTCACTTCCAGACTGCAGCTTTCATCGGGCCTTTTTCCAAAGAAGAAGATGTGTGTGTACAGAGATGAATACTTTAATTTTAATATAGCTTTTTTCTTTGTATGACAATTTCTTAGAGCCAACTTCCAAAGAATGATCTAGACAGCATATTAATTTATCAGACTATCGCTTAGCTAAGGGCTTTTTTTTTCTTCTCTTTTCCTCGGGATGAAAGTTGGGTTTCATTTTTTTCATTTTTTTTTCACAATTTACTTACAGGTATCGACGAATGTTGTTGTGAAAATCCAACTCCCCAAGGGATATACAGCTTATTTCCTAGACTCCCCTGGAGTTTGGAAGTCACCTTTACACGTTCTGACCTAAAAAACGTCCGAAATTTCTCGTAAATACTTTTTCATCGGGCAGAGGAAATAGTAGCACAAGAAGGCATCCAAATACATACTTTGTTGCTATTATAAAACGCCTATCGAAATAGTAGAAGGTCCTATACATAACACAAGGTTTTGACAGTGAAGAGCTCTAGTTATAATAAACTAGGGCGAAAAGGCAGCTCTTAACATCGTTTTATACATTAAGCCGCCGATTCAACGTTGTTAGTAGAGCCCGTTGTTTCAGCTCTGTTCTTGTGCTTGTAATGACTGCTTAACAGGCCTTTTAGCTGGTCTTCTGGAAGAGTGTGGTAAAAAGAAAGATGTCGGAAGTCTTCAGACAAGTCGTTCTCAAGCACACTAATGAGAAACACAAAGGTTGGTCGGGCTTTGGTAGTAAACTGCCAGCAAAGTGTCATCAACTCGTAACTGAAACGAAAGCCACAACATAAATGTCACAAGTCAACGTACAAGTACTGTCGGAACTTACATGGAAAAACGGAACTCGAAAATCTCGGCATGCGTTAACCCTTTACACCCTTACATCAGTATGCATATTCTCCATAATGTTCTCTATACATTTTCTTAGGCGCTGACGAGGAGACTCTGCTTAACAATCATTGGTAAGAGCTTCTTTAGTTGGTGACCATTTCCTTCATTCTCGTGACCTTTACGTGTGATTCAGGGTGGTTATTGACAGGAAAAATTTGAAACTAGTTACTCGTTAGTTTGGGTTTGAAATTTATAGGATGAGAACCTTGAAGGCGATAGAGCGTTCAGTGTAACAATCCTTAAAAAATCCAATACAATATCTTGAAATTTGTCATTCAGAAAATCCGTGGGAAGCTTCTTTATCCTGTATAACAGGATTTCCTTTTGGTTTGATAAATTAATATTTTTTCCCTAATGAAGAAAAAGGTAGCTCAAGGTGAGATCACTGTTTTTAACCAAAAGAGCCAAACAACATACTACACATAAGCTAACAGCCACGTGACTTACAGCCTATCAGGGCATTCCTCAGGTTTCTCCATCACTCCCCCGTCTACTACATATTTAAGGACCTCTTCATTGGACTTTCCAGGGTAGGGTTGGGCTGCCAATGTAGCCATCTCCCACATCACCACGCCAAATGACCTAAAACAGGCAAAAAATTGTATATAGTTACAGCGTTCTGTTGAGCTACATAACAAAGAAAAATAATCAAGTTTGGCATCGCACCTTAACGTCATGTTTTCAAAAGCTCGGGTTGGAAAAAAGGACACTTCTCGATTGAGTGTCGTAAAACTAAAACCGAATCATTCACGACAACCAATCATAGGAAAAGAGATATCTCGAGGGGCCAATGAGAAATCAAAGTATAAAAAAGGAACTGCCTAAAGCGCGGAAAAGTGCGAGGGACCAAGTCGCCACTGGTTTTGGTTTTGAATCTAATTGGTTGTGAAAGTGGCGCGAATTTTCTGGAACAATAAAATAACGAAGTAAAGCAAAAACAAACCAATCAAAGATTTCTTTCGTCACTCAACTGGAAATTGCTTCGACAGTGCATAATCACACAAAAATGCTGTGAATACTATCATACTTTCTCTCAAGCAACCTCTCTCCAACTTACCAAACGTCGCTATAACTTGTAAAAACACCATCTTTTAAAGACTCAGGCGCCATCCACCGCACAGGAAGCAAACCTAAAGGATGATTGAAATTGTAACTAGGAGAAAGTTGAATTCCCTCTAATCTTGGCTACATGCGCAATAGAATATAGAGGAGACACGAACTGTGGTTCTCGGTCTAGGTCTCACAGATCGGAACTCGACAAACTAAGGATGCCGGGAAATTGAAAGGTAATCACGGATGGGAAAAGAATGCATTAACAAAATAAAGCTACCTTTTCCTCCTTTTCTGTAGTAGTCTGTTTCGTAAATATCACGGGTCATTCCAAAATCTGTTAAGACAATGTTATACATACTCATTTAAAAGATATATACCACCACGATAGCAAATGAAACACAAACACATCAAAGACATGACGACCCAACTTGAACACATGACAGACTTTCGAACGATTGAATAACTAAAAACTCACCTCCTATTTTAACAGTAAAATCCGCGTTTACCATGCAGTTTCGTGCCGCGAGATCTCTTTAACAAAAGAAGTATTCCGTTAGAAAAGATCCTGATTCTGACACGTCAAGGAAATATGAATGTTTCACCTGGAAAATTGTCACATTCTGAGTTCGTTAAGACTTGACTTTTGGGCCTGGGAATGGCTCAACATCTTACCTTGGCCACCTTCTTCAGTGTAAAAATTTAAAGAACCTAGTAAACAGCTGGATAGTTGCCCACGCGTCAATCTGTGCAGACACTTAGTCTATTTGCAAGGCAGCTATGAGGTATAAATCCTACCTGTGCACGTATTTTCTAGCCGCAAGATACGCCATTCCATCGGCAATCTCTCCAGCCATTTGGAGAAGTTCTTGAAGCGTTGGAGGTGGTAGAGTTCCTTCCTGTTTAATCAGGAAAAAAAATTAATCTGATCAAAATTGATGATGAATGGTCCCAATTCCATGCAGATTGAATTCCACACGGCATCCCTAACCCTTTAGCCCTTTAGAGTGACTAGCATCTAATTTCTCCTTACAATATCACCCCTGAAACAAACATGAAAGCCATGAGAATAAAGGAAATGATCACCAACTAAAGTAACTCTTGATTGTTAAACAAATTCTCCTAGTCAGCCTCTTTAAAAATGTATGGAGAACAGTATGGAGAATAAGCATTCTGATGTTAGGGTGTAAAGGGTTAAGTTCGATTATCTTCGTGTCTTTTCTATTTCAGTTCACTCCATGAAATTCATCGTCCTTCCCAGGATTCTACCCGTGGGTAGTAATATCTTTTTTAAGTCCCATGCTTGCGAGAAATGTTCAACAGTTGAAACCGTTATTATCATCATCTATCATTTTACTTCGATCGACAGTTGAGTGAGTCACAGAAAAAAGTTTGGCGACGAGGTCGTCAAGGGCAACCTTCCTCGTTTCCAGTGGTAACCGCCGGATCCTGTTACCCGTGACATCAACACGACTTTTAAGTCAAAACACGGTCGCCAAACTTCCGTCGCGCTTCACTCATAACCACCGCTAAATGTTCGTTAAAATCGAGATCTTACCCCTGGCCGACGAGACCTTAAGAAGTTCTTAAGATCTCCCAGCTCCATAAGCTCCATGATAACAAGAGTAGGTTGCCCTTCTGAGACCACACCCAATAACCTTACCACGTGGTTACTACAGAATTGTCTGAAAAGAGAGCAAAGACATGTATCAGAGTTAGTTCAGAGAAGGACTTGATAAATGTGATGGTGGAATTTGTACGAATGGTAACACCACATAAATAGTATCAAGGATATATAACGCAAGGGTCACATCTGCCATCCACTTCAAAATTTTATTACAAAAATGTGAAGAACCACTTCTTAAGTTTTCGTTACTGCTTTTATTACCGAGACTTTTCGTGGCACACTAACGTTGTTTTGTCACTAAGAAATTTGTGACCGCCGAAATTATTGCTCTGTTTACATTACACCAATTTCAGGGATTTTTTTCAGAAATTTCAAGTTTAATGTTTCCTTATAACGCTATAACTACAGCCTCTTATAATCGCCACAAAGGCGTCAATCATTTTAGAATTAATTAAAACAGTGATTAAATTAGACCTGAAAATACGAAGCCAAGTAGCTGTACTGAAAAACTGAATACGAGAATTTATGAACCCTCACTTCATAACAGACGCCTCTTGAAGAAATTCCACCCTGTCTCGAATCGACGCATTTTCACTTACAGTCTGTAAAGAGGAAAATAACACATTGAACGATCGAGCAAGTCTTTAACCCTTTCACTCCTAAGATCTCTTTAGTAATTCCCCTCACTATCTGCCACATATTGCTTATAATTTTAGTCCTGAGAATTAAGTGTCGGATCAAATGGTAATCCCATGATTACCCGTCAACTGCCTGAAACGCAGGAAAACGCTAGTGCTAAGACAAGATGGGTTTTACTTTTGAATCTGATTGGTTGGTTCGCACACTTTTAAGCTGTGAAAATTCCATGGCTTTCCATGATTTTCCCGGGGCCAAACCTAAATTCCATGACTTTCTAGGCTTTCCAGGACACGTGCAAACTCTGTGAGAAGATGGTTTGAATTCTTGGGCCAATCACAGAAGAATAACTGTTTACCAAATTAGGATTAACTTCGATAGCCAAATAAAAATGCGTACATTGAAGTAATGTAAAAAGGTTGCTGATCATTTTAGCCACCATGTTTGAGCAGATTTTACACTGGATGGTCATTTCATTGCCGCTTCAATTTTGAGAGTGGAAACAAATGCTAAAAAATGACGCAAGTTGAGTTAAAAAAAAAAAAAGACGACATTTTTATATTTCCTGTAAACATCCTTCACGTCTGTTTAACTTAAATTCGCTTTACGACAGAAAACATCCAGAAAGCAAACAGATTTAATACCTTCACAGCCACTCTACGCATTTGATCACCGGGGGTAATATCTTCAGCTTCTCCTTCGTAAACCATCCCAAAGGAACCATTTCCTAATTCACGAACCAGTTTGATTTTCTCTCGGGGGAATTCCCATTCATCAGGAATGTACACTGCAATCACAAAAAAAGGGGGTTCAACAAAGTTTACATTAAAACTCTATTCCACTCACGCACGCGTAAATATGATTGGCAGATCTCCTAGTTGATTTAGGAATTTCCCGGCCTGCCGTTCAGTTGAATCTCACGGATAAAAGGAAGTTTTTATTCATTTTCTATGGCAGAGAAGATAAAGAGTAAACTGAAATTTCCCTTCAAAAGAAAGAAAAATTAATTGGGTTTTCTCTCTGAGGGTAAATCTATAGCCCCCTCTGGATGACGTGCGTCCATTTCCTTCTAGTCGAATCCAATGTCTGGTCTGGACTGCAACACACTTTCCAGGAGGAGAGAACGTATTGCGCGACCAAACCAACATACGATGGCAAAGGAGAACAAGATTGGGGTTGGGATGGGGATGTAATCTAAAATTTCCCATGTTGACATCACCCTATACACTGTGGGACTCACAGAGTCGATGTACTTGCAAGTGATCTCTTTATTTAAATATTGAAAAAAAATCAGATTCATCCAGTTAGAACGTACCGAACTGTTGTAGAGAAAAAAGAAAAAAAAGAAAGAAGATCTTTGAGGAAGCAATTACCCCTTACCGTCTGTTGATGTCATGTATTCTGGGTTAACAGAGGCATAAAGTACACCCGGGATCTGTTCATCGCTGTACCTGATGTGATCAAACAAAGCATTGGAAAAGCGGTCGTAGAAAAGGCAAGCATGTGATGAGCTATTTTGAATACATTCATGGAATCTTTGATGGAAGGAACGCGCACAGCTCGGCTGAGCTTAAATAGAAAACAGCAAGGCCTACCACAAGGTAATTTGAAACTTGGGCTTTTGCACAGGAAGACAGAGATATAAATTCCGACTGTTGGATAAAACAACTGCAAGGAACGATTTCCTTTCATTTATTTAAATTTCCTTTCATGCCTTTCTTCTTCAATTGGGCGACATTTGCGGGCAGAAAATGGTTATTCATTGAAATTCTGTACCCTATAAGTCTGCCATAACTTGGTTAACCTTTTCGAGACTTTTTGGCGCATTTAAAAATTTCTTTCTAGAAACCCTGTTGGAATTTTTCAAAACAGAACCAAGAATTTGTCATTCATGTGAATTCATGTTGAAGAATGAGTTACTGTTACCATGGCAATAGTGAACAGCGCTACCTTACCTCTTGTATCTTTGACGAGCAATGTACCACACAACAAAACCACAAGCTAACACAAACACAACACTAGCAGCCAAGCTGGCTCCCACAATAGTCCCTAGGGACAACGCCTCTTTTTCTCCGATGGGAGGTACTGCAACAAAACACAAAAGCAAAATAATTTGACTAGGTACGAATGCGTTCCGTGGCGCAGAGAATTACAACCTAGTGAAAATTGTGTTTGCACCTTATACCAAACGAAGTCTCTCTGGTACCCAAGCCAACCGAAGTTAGGGCACGGTTCAAAAGCGCCTGGTCTCCCTCGCAGTCGTCCGTTCAGATGTCGCACAATCGTACCCTTTCTTTTGAAGAAAGGGCTGCGTGACATCTAAAGAACGGCTGCAAAGAAGTCTGGGAGCCGGCTTGTGAGTTAGTACCAGTTCCCCTCTGCACGCTTTTTAATCCGTTTCCCGGATATTTACTGAGAAACACTTGATTTGAATAACCACTATCCCTTTCGTAGTACATCCACTTGTGTTCTTTCACTTGGTTCTCGTTAGAATGGAGAATGCTGCAAACACTCTTGTTGTGTACTCGTAAAATTCATGTAATTACTGCCGCTACATAAGCCTTTTCCAAATTCCCAAAAGCCGTTCCTTCAAAATAAAGCCGGGCGCCGAACTTTTCTTGTCAATTAAGGACTGCCGAATAAAAATCGTTTTAACCTCGCTGTAAAACAGAGTTTCTTATCACCTCGGAAGACTTTTTGGGGAGAAGGATTGCAAAGCAAGCGCGACAGCTTTACGGTAGCTTTGGAGAAAGAGGAACTATACCAAAAAATAGCTTTAAACTTACCTGTGGACTGCGATTCAATGAAATACGAGAAAGACACAGTGTTACTCCACGATCCATTGCCGGACGAGGTAATAGCTCTAACTTGGGCAGAATAGTTTCCATCTTCTACTCTCTCTTGGTATGTTAACTGTTTGCCACTCACACACTTGAATTCAGGTTGAGAGTCCGACTAAGAATTGAAAAAGAAATAAAATGAAACAAAAAAGGTTTTTTTTTCGCATTTGAATGCGGAAAGCAGTGTGGGAGTGCCATGGCATCAATCTACGATTGGTTCTTCAACCTCACGCCACCATCTCAGCCAATCAGAAGCAGAAAATAAATCCATCCGCACTTTGCTCACCCGCTCCTCTCCGCGCTTAAGGCAGTTGACATATCTACCTCGACTTCCTATGGGCTACTTATGGTACAGTGTATTTTTCTCTCGTAATACCTGCGTGTGAGTGTATAAATTTATTTGTAGTTTACAGCTCCTAAGGGTCGATCAATTTACAAATCAAAATTAAAGTCATTTGTTGATTTTTTTGGAATTCTGTCTCTAGCTACTCAGTGTAAAAACAAAGTGCTCTTGGTGTTTGTATCATTTGGCTAATATCATTATTTGCACATGTATTTTATTCTGTTTTTTTACTAAATTATTGATCATAAACGACAGAGCAATTTTGTCATTCAAAGCACGTTTCAAAAAGATGACCTACGTTGGTTTCAAACTATGGTTTAAAATCAAGGTTATCCGATGATAATCTTTGATCTGCAAGGTCACTCATTACCCAAATCCTTCCAAAACACTTTCAGTTGGTCTTGGAAGCTTAGGTCTCGCAAAACAGTCTATTCTAAAACGGCACGCACAGTAACATACAATCTTCTAATGGCCTGTGCGAAGGTACTCATTATAAGCGCTTCAGCACGAGCGTTTCTTTGCCTGCGGGGAAGAATGAGGCCTTGATGAATGAGAGTCAACGAGAGGTCTGCAAGGGGTGAAACACCCTCTTTATTAGTGCCAGACTCCAGCCGACCTCCCCACGACTCGCGTCCAGTCTTCCCGCGGGAGGAGAAACACGCGTCGTGCGGCGCTTATGACGAGAGCCTACTCGTAGGCTAGTCATTCGATTCACTGAAAACTAACACACCACTTCTACAAGCATACCTGTGTTATCTTTATATCATACTTGAGCACCACTCCATTTGGGTCCTTTGGGGAAACCCATGTTAATCGAAACTGTGGCAGATATAATGCATAGAAATATCTAAATTAATTTGTCACGACCCTGGAACAAAGACAAAAATCTGCCAGATTTTTTCTTTGTTCCACGAGAATTCGATACCCTGACCTTCGGATTCCGCGCTCTGATGCTCAACCACTGAGCTACAGAGAACTCTAAAATGCCATGATTAGCCATGACAAGAGCCTCATGAGAAGCAATCGAGTGATGGAAATTCACGGAATTTAGCAGTGAACATCCACGCGGTGGCTATTCTTGTTCACTGTTTCCTGGTCGAATTGGAATTTGAAATGTTGGTTTTTGTAGAAGGATGAAAACTGGAGGACCTGGAGAAAACCCTCGGAGCAATGACGAGTATCAATACACTACTCAGCCCACATGGAACGCCACGTCCAGAAATCGAATGCATGCCACAACGGTCGGAGGCGAGCGCTCTCGACACCATCCCCGCAATCAGCCATTTTCTTTGGAACCTGTTAAAAGACTCTTCCATTTTGAAGTTTTCAAAAGCCATACTCGGTCCTCGACTAACTTCATTATTGAAGAGTAACGTTACACCAGTTGAGGAAAGTAATGTGGGTTGCAATGAAAACAATTGACCTCATAACAAGAAATATGCTTACTTCTCCAGTGTTGTTGTCCATATTGACTTTTAGGGGTGCTCCAAGATTGTCGGCCGTTTCTGAAATCAAGACCAGAAAAAAGACGGGCTTAAACAACTTCATAAATGTCATAAAAAGGTCAGGTCAGGTAAGGTCAGGTTTCGGGACTGAGACATGGCCGAGTCATTTGCGTTGCTTTCGTGGGTAAAATAGTTTTCTTTCACAGTGCCTCTCCCCACCCTCCCCACCCACCCAGGAGTATAAATGGGTACTGGCGAACTGTCAGGGAAACGTAATGAAAAGTTGAAGGGGGGGGGATTAACCTTGCCATGGATTGGCATCCTATCCAGGGGAGAGTAGTGATACTCTTTTTCTGTTTCATGCTATGGAAGGTGGGATAAGCTCCAGCGGGATGGGCTACTTGGTTCCTTAACACTTTGAACCCTTGAAGTGACCAGCATCTAATTTCTCCTTACAATATCACCCCTGAATCACTCATCAAGGTCACGAGAATATAAGAAATGATCAGCAACTAAAGCTCTTGATTTTTTTAACAACTTCTCCTTGTCATCACCTTTGGAAATGTAAGGAGAACAGTATGGAGAATATGCATATTGATGTTAAGGAGTAAAGGGCTTTGAGAGGAAACATTACGCCACAACAACCTATGCTATATCACTCACCGTTTTTGTTTGTCATTCCCTTTGTGGTGGCACAAGAAGAGCCAGTTGCACATCCAACCTTTGTGCAGGCACAGACCTAAAAAAACGTAGCAACAGACCAATTTCAATACTTTCTATCGGTAATCTTTCAGTTAAAAGTTTAGTAATATTGTTAGCTCTTAATCGCTTTGTGACAATCCACAATGGAACATTGCGTGACGCCTCAGTGCGTGACGCGTGACGCCTCAGAAAAAGACCACGGTGACAGTCACACATCTCTTACGTCACGCCAAGGAACAAAATAAGGAAGCTACTTTCATCATCTCTATGGTTAATCGGCTAAACATCTGAAAACGAAAATGACTTTAACCCTTGTCATTAAGGCGTCAGAGCGCGCGAAAGAACAGGTGCCCTGGCGGTAAGCGCCATGTAAGCGCACTGGACACCAAATCGCAAGTTCCGTTGCCTGCTTCTCGAAAGTCCTGCTAACATTACGGAACCGAAGCCATAATTTACATATCTTTACCTAAGGAAGAGTATTGCGGGTCTTAACTCAAAAAACAATACATTCCGTTAAATTTACTCAAATCTCTATAATTTGAATTTTAAAGTTTTCAAACCTCGATTTGAATGCAAACACGAAAAATAAAACCAGCTTTGCGGAACCGGTTATAACCGAAAATTTAGAGAAATAAGCCCCTGGCCCGGTATCTTAGTTGTGTTCTTGGACACGACAATTTACTTTCACAGTGTGTCTTTTAGCCCAGGTGTATAAACAAGCGACAGTAACTTTCGAGAAAATTTGATGAATTGCTGCTGGGTTACCTGCGCTTCTTCGAGTCGCGACACAAGGATAAAACCGGGAAACCCTCCTGTGGCACACAAGGATAAAACCGGGAAACCCTCCTGTGGCAACGAGCTGGTGGACTCGATCATTTCAGAGGGAATGTACTCAAAAATATTCCCCTCAAAATCCAACCAATTTTAAAATTGGTTTAAGTAATTCAGCAGCGCAACGAGCAGTCATTGCGCAAACGTAGCCTCATACATTTATACTTACAGTGATTGTGTAGTCAGAGAAGTGCCTCAGGTTTGTTAAAGGGATTTTATTAACGTTGCCATCCACAGCGAGAGAAGCATTAGGCTTGGTTGCTGGGACTGTGGGTCTCATGGAAGTCGGTTTAACTGATGTGGAAGACAACTTGGATGATGTTGTCTTTTTACCAGATGGTGCTGTTGTAGGCTGACACATGGGATTCTGGAACATAATACCGAGGTATATTCTGTGATAAGCTGAATTATAAACGTACTCTGATTGGTACTTACTCAATATCTACTGGAGGACAGATGGGTAGATGACATCACCATCAGCAACCTTTTGCTTCTTTATTACATCAAACAAATAAATTCCATGTTGCCGTGGGCCTGTACCGTGGCAGATTACAGAAGATTAATAACGTCGGTGACACGCTCCATTGTTCTTAACACATTCGAGGTCTTCTGTGCTCTTTTACTGTACAGATCCACGGCAACATTAACGAATCTATTTATTAAGTATTCAACTCAACTTTTTGAGTAATGTAGAAATAGTACAACCCAAAAACAGTCGGCAGTTTATTTCACATCATTACATAGTGACTGAAGGATGTTTTACGTACGTCACAAAGGAAGAACAAAGAAAGAAACTGAGTATCCACTGTGGTTTTAGTCCTCTCTCGTAAATTCTTAAAACTCATCCACTAACATATTGATTCAACTGTTTAATTAACCCATCTTCGCCCTTTACACGTGATGGGGACTGGCAAATAATTTCTCCCTAGCTACGCTATCACTGCTCAATCACACATTATGGTCGCGAGAATAAAGGAAATGATTCCTAACCAAAAAACCGCTTGATCATTGAACAAGTTCTCCTTGCCAGTACCATAGGAAATTTACAAAGAACACTTATGAGAATATGCATACTGATGTTAGGGTGTACAGGGTTATTGATCTAACCTGTGCATTATTACTGCAGTTCGGCTGGTTTAAGCCTGTGGTAGGTGCGGTCGTCGCTAACACAGTTTTGTTTGTTGGAGGTTCGTTGTCGTCTTCTGTTTTCGTAAAAAGTGTTTTGTACAAGACGTCTTGGAACTCCTTCGCGAATAATGCTGATTGTTTTTCTGGTTTCATTTTTTCTTCCTCCTTATCGTCACAGGTACAAGTCAAATTTGTTACGCAGTTTCCTGCAGAATTTAGGATATCATTGAAAACAAATCAAATGTTAAAGAAAACAAAAATGTGCAAGAATTTCGCTTCACGCGATAAAAAGCCGACAACAGTGCCGGTGATAACGTCACATACGCGCTTGTTACTTGAGAGATCATAGGTGAGCGCAAATTCAACAACGTCTACATCATTGGCTGAATTATAAACACATTCCACTGGTTCTTTATGATGATCTTCTGGAGGAAAGACGCATAGATGACATTGCCGTAAAACTTTTTTTTCTTTTTCATCACATAACACAACCTAATTTCATGTTACCATGGGTATGTTCGGTAACAAATCACAAAAGAAGTCAAAATACGGTAAGTTTCATGTGCCAAGTTTGGGTTCTTACCACATTTGGACGATTCTTCTCTATATTTACCACAATTCGACGTCATCCGTTATCTACTACAGGGCGTGAAATTGCGCCTAATACAGGCGACCAAATCCTGAAAATTGGTCGCCAAATTGGCGACTAGAATGTTTTATCATAATCTTACCTAGAGATATAGTGAATTAAAAAGATCTGCAAAGATAAATCCGCAGCAAACTTCCTCATTAAGTTTTTTCCAAAACGCAGCACATCATCCATCCTAATGTCCACTTTGTAGCAAGTTAAAGATCTTTTCCCTAACTTAATTTCTAGAACGATGACAGCGTGAAAAAAGGTTTTGTTTGCCTTTGAAAATGACGACCAACTTTTTTTGAATTGGCTTCCACTTTGAAGAATTTAGGAGCCAAGTGGCTACCAGAAAAAAAAAATTAATTTCACGCCCTGTTCTACTGAACAGGTGCTCGGCAACATGAAATCAATTTGTCACGTAGACCTCAACAGATATTACATTTGACACAATTACCAACAATTGACTGGGTGTCTGAAACGTTCGTCCACCGTAAGTCAACTCCCAGTATTTCTTCAGATTTTCCTGACCATTCGGTCATAACTGGTCACACCCGATCAACTCGCGGGTATGGAATATGAAGTCTAACTAAAGAGAAAAGAGCAATAGCCCCAGACAGGATTTCAAAACAGACCCCTAACTCCCCAGCCCTATGCACAAGCCATGAGTAATTTTGGCTAGTTGTTATTTCATTCAAACTCACCATCAGGAGTGTTGTCTGTGCTTCCCTCTCCATTGTTATTACCACCAAGTCTGTTACTGAACACCTGTCGACTGCACCAATCCAAATCAGCTTTCCAGGCAGAGTATGTACTTATTTCGTAACTCACAATGTACTTGGTTATGTTCCCATTTGGAAACAACGGAGGTTCCCACGTCACAAGTAATGCAGAAGAGTTGAGGTAGTTTGCCTCGAGACCGACCGGCTGGGAAGGCTCTGAAAGGACAATCACATCCAACAGAAACTTGGCACGCAGCGAAAGAGAGGCATGATAGATAGGTCATTAGTAAATTTGGATCGGTGCCAATATCTAGGCAAATGGTCACCTACCCTTTCCCACACCCAACAACATTCATCGCCCCACCCTTTCCCCTCTCCTTCGATTTGAGCTTCGCTCACCGCCTTAGCAAAAATTTCGCTCCCTTTCCAGCCTTCCGCTGCTATAAAAATTAATGATGGCTGCTATAGTTTTCTGCAAGATAGAAATTTGTCGTGCAGTCGACAGGTGCGAGCACTCGCCCGCCAAAATTGCACCTGCCCCGTAGGCTGTGTAGGGGAGGGGTAAGAGCGAACGTGATACTGATCTTTGATTTCTTCACTTACTGCTCTCCTTTGTCATAACAAAAACCAAGTCACTCTTTGCACCATCGTTCTTCAGTACAACTGCCTCAACTTGAAAGGCATACAGTTGATACGGCTTCAGCTCTCTAATTGTCCTCTCAATCTTCCGACGCTTTGTTATCAAGCCTCTAGAAACATTTACTCTGCAAACGACGTAACAAAATGAATAGCAGTAGCAAGATCTTTGTTATTGTAATATGCTAACATCGAACAAGTAACTTTCATTTCGCAAAATTTCCCGGACGGTTTACTGGTTTCCATATCTTTTCCTGGATGATGGGCACTAAGTCAGTATTCTGTCCAATTTGCGCGATGGGGTCGATTCCGGCCGGCCGCGCATCAATTTCCCGCGCAAAATTTCAAAAGAAAACATGGGAAACAACCACTGTCTCGCAAAATAACCGAAAGATAATTGAACCGTTAATCGAAATCTTTAATGGAAACAAAGTAGAGAAAAAGGAAACCTCTTGACTTTTCGAACACAAAGTTCATTCAAGTACTGGTATTCTGTTGAGAAACATTCTGTTTTAAAATTAACCGAAAAAGTTTTTCGAAATTGAAAAACCGTGACTTATTAGTTTGAGTGGTTGGTTGAAACCAGTAAACCATCAGACAGCGATATACGGCAAGACCAAAGCGATCCCGGATCACTTTAGTCACCCAAATGAAGATTGCTCTAATCAAATCAGTAAGAAATGATAGTAAAGTGTGCTTACTCTGGGGGCGGAACTGTATGATCAATTCGCGTCCAGCTGTGTAAATGAGAATACAAAACATACTTTGAAATAGACGCTTAAATTACATTCAATGAATCTTTGGTGATCAGTTGATCTGCGTGGGCAAACTAAAAATTACAATGAGATTCTGTATGTGTTTGTCCCTGCTTCTAATCTCTAACAGACTTCGAAGCCTTAGTAATCACCTTTTTTCTGGTTATTTCAGATATCAAATCTACAAGTGCACTTGCTTGTTTGTTTTTTAAGAAACTACAAAATAAAATTTGTCGGAACAAAGTGGCTACTACAACCGCTGTACCCCTAAATGGTTAATAATAACTATCAAAATAGGTTTTAACTGGAAATTGTCACATTCGCATGTTGGAGCACAGAACACTTTCCTAATCTTTTGAGACTGATAGATGATTATTACAAATCATGTAGAAGATCATGTAAAACTGGTTCAGCAGGGCACATTTTCGGGATCTTGGGTGCAAGAAAATTATCGTAAATAGGGATTTAAAAACGGGAAGACTCGCAGTTAAAACGTTGTCACCGTATTACCAAAAGTGACTAAGACAGGGTCTATAGCTGGCCACAGAATAGACTACTATGGGGTAAGGGTTCTGCCAGAGTGGCCTGCGGCACAAACCCAGCAAAAATTGACCCAAACTCACCCCTCCCCGATCATTAATAGAGAAACTGAATGACATACAGTATATGTCATACTTGTTCATGGACGAAATCATTAACCTTTCACATAATTTTATATGATTGTGCTGGAGAAAACAACAATTGTTTGTGCTCTGGAACAGTACAGACGTATCATTCATTTCCATGTAATGCTTAAGATGCTAGCCACTAGGACAAAATGTGACAAGTCAATCTGACTTACATGTCTCCACTATCGCTGCTACAGGCATCCACATCAGTATATTCTGTTATTTGCCTATTTGGGCTACAGGATTTAATACACATCATGGACTAATAAGCATCTAATTTCTCCATACAATATCACCCCTAAATCAAACACTTAAGTCATGAGAATAGAGAAAATGATCACCACCTAAAGATGCTCTTAATTGTTGGACAAATTCTCCTGGTCAGACCATAGGGAATTTGTAAGGACAGTATGGAGAATATCCAAACTGACGTTACGGAATAAAACGTTTATTACGAGGCTAACAGGGATTAGCATACGTGACATAAGCCAGTGGACTTTGTATCCGCGTGCTCTCGGAAGCGTCTAGGGAGGGAGCTGCAAATACGAGCGGTGAAGCCAAAATAAACTGTCGGGAAGTGACAAGGGGGCCAAAATAACCTGGCAGCCTATTATTTCTTATTTTCCTTCTAATTTCAAACTTTTGACGGCCCTGAATGATAGCTCTGCGAATTGAATATGTTAAAGCAAACATTATCCCTTGGTTGCTCCTTAGTCCTCTCTCTCTTTCTTTCATCCCGTTTCTGCTCAAAAATGTGTTTTGGCAAGAGAAATTCTTATAACAGGCGAGAGGTTTTCCAAGGGTCTAGCACTCACCCCTGGAAAACCACTCCCTGACTCGTCGTCCTACAGGCCTGCTCACAAGGCTATCCTAAGAAGGTATTCATTTTTAGTCACTCCTAGCAGTGAAAGGGTTAACTATTTGATAACTCTAGAAAATGTAGAACAGAGCATAATAAAACAGACAATGGCATTAAACCGAGTCAAGCACTTACGCCTCTCTGTATGATAGAGTGTAAAACAAGACATTTCTGTAATCATCGTTGATGATAGCGTCGTCCCATTCCACTTTCACACAACCTGAGTTACATCTTGGAAGTGTAATTTCTTCTACAGTCACATTTATCTTTCGAACATTACCTGCCGATAAAAAGAAAAAATTCAATCACATCAAGAATGTGGGGGACTGCTTCAATTTATGTCAGACATTCTACCAACTGAGCGGCAGGCCAATCATTATGGCCAAATTATCACGAGTCATACAGAAGGCTTTCCAATCCTTACTAGGGAGGCCTGGGGACTCTTATACTAACTGTTTGTTATGCTTACATGCTACAGCGTTTCCATTGGTGGTGTCTGAGATATCAAGAACTCTGTTACTGTCATTCCTATTCCACTTCAGAATATCATTGATAAGTGGAGTGATCTGGCTTGGACATAGGTACGGATTCAAGTGCACCATGATTCCTCCCTCAATTATTGTTAGATTCTGTTGAAATGGCCACAAGGCTTCTAGCTTGGGGTTATCACGGATGGCCAAGGCATACCTGTAGGAAAAAAACCATGCAAACCATCAGCGGTTAACTTTTAGGTCCATACCATCAAGAACTGTATTCATCAACACATTGTTGCCACTGCTTGTGTCAACCCCTTACATCCGCACACCAATATAAGAACGCATATTCTCCTTACTGTTCTCAAGACATTTCCTATGCTGAAAACAAGAAGAACTTGTTAAAAAATCAAGATCTTAGTCAGCAATTATTTTCTTTACTCTCACGACCTCTTGAGTTAAAGTGGGGCTCACCTTAGATTCTCAAATTAGTGCCACCTTGAATAAGCCCCCTAGGAATGAGTGCCTCTTCTGCCAACAAAACTCTGAAATAAGCACTCACTTTGAATAAGTGCCTTCCTGCACTGTCCCTATTTTTATATACAAGCCGTTCCGACTGCCAACTAGAAAAGTGCCTTAAATCAGATCGTCCTGTCAATTAGGCAACACCCTCAAAATAGGCAAACTTCTTCTCCACATTAGAATGAAATAGGCACCAAAGGTTGCTTATTCAAGGATTAACAATATCAACATTTTAACCACAGAATATCCCTGTCATTAGCTCCCATTCTATACACACCTCTCATTGTATAAATTGTATAAATGGAAGAACTTTCTTGGACGAATTTCCCGCAGATTCTTGAAAAAGTTCAAAGAAGTCAGAGATGCGGACTCTCTGATCACAATGTAGCCCTTCACTTTTTCAATTTGCCCTAAATTCTCCTCCAGCTGTGTTCCAATACCTAGGAAGTTCAGAAAAATTTCTGTTAACATATTTAACCTTCTACAAGTCATTACCATGTGCAAGTAACTGCTCATTCCATGATGTGAATACAAAAACCAGCAAAAATGGTAAAGGAAGTATTTCCTTTACCTCACAACATAACAACTTCCAATGTCAATTGAAATCAAAATGTATGATGTGAGATAAACAGTAGTGCCTCACTGCTTGTTGCTCCACTATGATAAAATTGTTGCTCCACTATGATAAAATTGTTGCTCCACTATGATAAAATTACCTCAGTGGTACTTAATTTCATAGGTCATGTTTTTGGCTATTGTAAAATAAGCAAAATCAAAGACCCCCTGAATAAAAATCCTTGCAAAATATTCACAAGTGAAATTTAATTGCCTATAGAAAGTTTAAATCATAGGGAAAAAATATGATCAACATGTAATAACAACAACATACATTTGTATCAACATATACACCGATTATTAACTGTTCTTTCTGCAAGTTCTAATTTGCATTTTCTGTTGTGAAATTAAATTTTAATCTGTAGAGATTTTGCATATGAAGTAGAGAATTTAGCCATCAAATGGTTGAACTGGTTTTCAGATATGACAACAAGTTTCTTGTAATAAATGAAATTTTAATATTGATATACACTATTCTGGAAAGGGCCAATGTCAACAGACCTGAGCCACCGCTGCCTCTAATCTTAATGATCAGATTTCCATCAATTTCTGTGCAGCCTTTGTATTTATTGAGAGTCTCCAGAGAGTCAATTGGTATTTTATATTCGATGTCAGTTGTTTTGTCTGATTTTTTGGTCTTACAAACTGTGAAATAAAAACATGAAACAAAACAATAGTCAATGGTTAAGGAGGATATTAACAATATTGTACTAGTTAAGTGAGGGAAGTATCTACATCAGCAGTAAATTTTGAATGTGATACATGAAAACTGCTTTCACCAAGAACAGGGACCTTGAAGAAAAATACAGAAGACAATATGAATTTAAAAAGTTTTATTTCTAGTTTGAATATTGCAAATGGCTGGATGTGTTAAGTGTCTTGTAAGGCACCACACCTCAGCTTCACCAAAATGTAGGTGAGCAGATTTGCTGCTATCATGGTTTGGGTAAGTTCCCTGTTATCTTCCAACACACCCCATGCTGGCTGAACCAACTCTCCAGAAATAGTAACACCATGATAACCAAGCAATTGAGGACTTTTTCCAAGTTTACAAAGCCTCATCTTCACACAAGGGGACTTATGTGGATTCAAGAAGCTTATACAAACCCAAGATGCAGTTGATCAGAGTTTGAAACCTAAGTCTCCCACGCTTCACTACCTCACATACTGTACCAGTACTTTAATTGCTATGTGGGTCATAAAACACAAAATTATAATGTCAATCCCAAGAAATAGCCCTAGACATACCCCTTGGACATTTTTCAGCTGTACATTTCAAACACGATTTATTTTCTCCTTCTTTATAGCCTGCTGGGCAGACTTTCACACACTTCATTCCAAGTTTCAAGTAACCACGAGGGCAGTCATCTATGCATTTGAACTCATCAATCTGAAAGTAAAATAACAATCATACTAATAGGAAAATCTCACTAAATTAAATTAAGCTTTACTCCACACTCTTCTTTATAGTATATATTTCCTAAACTGCTGACAAGGAGAATCTATTTAACAATGAAGAGTGTCTGTGTCTTTAGTTGGTGATCATTTCCTTTACTCTCCTCACCTCAGTGTGTGATTCAGGGGTGAACTTGTAGGAGATATTAGATGCTAGTCACTTTAAGAGGTCAACAATGGCTACCACACTAGTGCAGTGTGTTTAAGAAGTGATCTTCCTGAAGAATTTTGTCACAAAAAAATTCCAACCAATTTCCTATGCAATAGAATGGACTTGATCAGGTGATAAACCCTGTTGCCTTTCTTCATGGATATGATAATACCCGATATTGATGGCAGTTCTTTGATCTTGATCACTGTTTGGGATTAATATAGCTCTCTGCTGAATTCACTCGAATATGAGTTTAAGCATTGTTTTGCATTCATCTATGTTGCACTTCACTTGCCAGTTTTTGATCATTCAGTGAGGCAAAATAAATCTGTCAGTAGACCACCCCTACCCAGCTTTTATTGAAACTCCTCATATTTTAGATATCCCAACAGCTCAGTACATGCAGTTGAGCACTTGCTGAGGACTGGGATTTCTGTTTTCTTACAATTAATGAATGTTCCAACAAACTAACTATGGTACAGTTACTTAACCACCTTTCACACTTTAGAACATTGCAACAAAATATCATGAAAGTATGTAATTCTCTGTACCTCATACAGATGACGGCCACAATTCTCAACACATTCCCCTTTTGGCATACGGAAATTTCTGCAGGCATAACAGTGACGTGGTGAGTTGGTTTTGGTACATCCTCCCAGACACTGTTTGTCACAACATGAGGTGCTCTTTCCCATCAGACCTCCATTTACACAGCCTGAGTCACCACACTTCATGTCACACACTGACAAAAGAAAATGCACTAACTTTAAAATCAAACATTTTGGTTTGTTTGTTTCATGCACTCAACAAATAAGCCATTTGAAAATGAAAGAGGCTCACAGAGACACTTTGGTGAGTACCTGTCCAAAAGAGCATTTCATACCAGATAAAACATAGACAGAGAGAAAATAACAAAATACTGTGCTGTTAATACATTATACAATATAGAGGCGCTGAGTCAAAATTAAATTATCCTTACTCTTGGGGACTGGTTTCTATGGTCTGGATAATTGCAAGTCCCAATATTAGGGCTGACCAACAATGTTTTACATCAACCTAAAATGCTGACAAAAATCAGCTTCAAGCTGCTGTAGTGCACACAGGTCACTACATAATTCTTTTTAGGGTGCCAAGATAGGTGAATAGTGTCATCACTTTTTTGTCTTTCCATCCATGTTAAACACTTTGTGATACATTCAACAGCTTCAAAAACAGAGCAAATTCAATTCCAGTGGAAGTTTCATTACACATGTTGTGTTTGATAGAAGAAAGTTGTTACTGATCTTGAATGTGATGTATCAATATTCATGAAAATATGGGACCAGAAGGGCAAGTCTGAATAATTGAAAACTCTGGATAATCAAGGTCCACATAATTACTATTATAGTAAAATACAATCCAGAGGTAACATGTAGCACACAAAGTCTTGCCTAATATAGATCATCTGACAGATCAGTAAACAGTTGTCAGATATGTTGGTTGCTAAATAAGTAAAGGGAATAAGTTTCTCAAGAAACTGTGATGCTGCATCAGGGCGAGACTGAGTATAATCTGGTAATTAAGTATTATCAATTGAGTTGATAACGTAAATTGGCCACCATAAAGAGTTTCAAAGCTGATGTTTCCAGCTGCATATATCAGTTGACATATCAGTCGACATATCAGTCGACAGTTGCTAGATAAGTTAGTTGATAAATAAATAGAGGGGGTAAGTTTTCGAAAAAACTATGGTGCTATGTCAGTGGAAGGGTATGACAGGGTACTTTGGTATTATCAACTGAGTTGATAAGGTAAATTGGCCACTGTAAAGAGTTTCAAAGCTGATGTTAAGAGCAGCAGTTTGTTGATCTCTCAGTCCATACATATGTCAGCTAATAAAGTTTTTGGTTTACTGATATTTTAATGATACTTGACCAATATTTGAGCTATACTTCCACTTCTGTTAGAAATCGATTAAATAAACACTGAAAGAAGGAAAGTCTAAAAGTCTTGATCTTCAGCCGAAAGGATCTCATTGTTGTTATTGAAAATCTTTAAAAAAATCAATTCATCCCTTATTTTTTGGGAAAAGAGAAAAGTTTTGGGGACAAAAGCTGCAAAATTTGCCATGCAACAGCTTACTTGTCTTTCATTTTCCAACAGTTTGATCAGCTACTTTAAATAAGCCTTAAAATCTGATTGGCTATTTTGTTTTAGTATTGCATTTTCACTGGCTGGGAAAACTGCAATTTAAAGCAAAAAATAGCACCATTTGTGGATAAATCGCTAGAGACCCATTAGATTACACAGCTCACCAGTGATTACAAAACATATTTAACAAATAATGGTAATTGAACTAAGTGAAGTGCAATTTTGGTCAGAAAACATATTTTGTGATTTCAAATGAGACTTGTGCTTCTTGCTCCATTATGAAATCAAAGGTATGATTTCAGACCAAATTGTGCTCCAACCAGTTCAATTACCCTACAAAAAGAGCATCCTGACATTTGAGGATTCTTGTGTGATACTTGTTTTCAGTAAAAATTGTGTAGTACAGAGCATTATATCATAAAAATGATTGTGCAGGCCTTCATGGGGACAGAGGTTACAAATTGCCATTCAAATGGTAACCTTCAAAAGAAAACCTGTTGAATGTTTCTAATCAATCAATCATATGAAAAAATGTCTGCTTACCCACTTTGATAAGCTACCACAAATATTTGACCTCTATGAACTTCTTGACAAAAGCAGTAACATTATTAGTGAGCTAATTAGATAATTGGCAGAGTCTTAGGACATTATTTTGTCATAATTTGATTGCTAGAAAACATAAAAAGTCATGGAATCGAATAATATATCCGTTTTAATCGCCAAAGAGACATGCAAGAGTCCTATTAGTTCGCCAAAACAGACGTGAGAGTTTTTCCTGTTCGTAAATATTGGTTTCCCACAGGAAAAAAAATCGCAAAAACGCCAAAATCGCCAAAGCAACGGATGAGAATTGCGTACATTTTCACACACATATCAACTATACATTCCTTTCAAGTTTACCAGCAAAACTTTACAAAACGTAAATCATCGAGCAATATTTATAAGCTTTTAATTGAAGCTTATAATTAAGCAACAACAGAGACATTTGAATGAGCAGTCAGAATAACAGGGTTGTTCGGAATAAATTATCTTTCAATTCATGTGTGTGATTTCCACATCAATCTCAAGCCATAGAATGCGAAAAAAAACATTTTTACTCACATGCCTGACAATCAGCGTTTGAACCTGCACCCGGTGCCCAACAGTACTGATTTGTTAAACTCCCGTGGCCAGCAGGAGGCGTACATTTTTGTTGGAAGCATCTATCATAGCAATCATTATTATTTGAGTTCAAAACCAAGGTGTATTCATCGACCTTCGTATTCCTCATAATCGACTTCCATCGTATAGTTTCGACGTAACATAAATTGATGTTTTTCTCGATGCGAACGCCACCTCGAAGAATCGTAGTCAACGAGGGAAGATTCACTTCCTCCAATCCGTCATTCTGATAAATAATGAGCGAATAATCCAGAAACACTTGGCGCCCTCGAATCACGGCAAGGTTTGGAAAAATCTCTCTTAAGCTTCGCCTACCGTACATCAGGGAAACAAGCAAGTGTCCAGTAATTTCAGTTAACTTCGGAAACTGGAGTTGTTTCATAACTGCATCGCTAGCCTTTCTTACCATTCGAACTTGTATGCTGCCTTCCAGAGTTGTACAATTTTCCAATTCTTCGCAGCCGTCGCATTTCTCGTTAGAAATTTTCAAAACCACCTTCCCGGTAGACTCACAAACTAGAGATAAAAAATACACACCATCAGAAATGTTGACATGGCAATAAACGAATCTACCGACTACTAGCTTTGAAAACTTGCGTTGGCTTCTCGCAGTTTCCGATCAATTTTGGCACCAGAATACTCACGTTTAAAATATGCTTCCCCTCCACCGAAGAATCCACAACAGCTTAACGTCAGCAAAATAGTAAAAATTAGGGCTTTCCTCATGATTCCCACGACAAAGACTGAAAAATTTACGAATCAAAAATGACAATCGCTGGCACTTCTAAGGCACCGAAGCATATTCTGACATCAAAGTCACAAGCAATATTTACTGTTTTGCTTTAAACAGAACAAACGTGTGGTGTTTCAGACGGCGAAGGTTCCGAATGAATAGCAGCAGATCTGTTTGTAAAGCTTGAACTTTGAAGTTAGACAACGTAAATTGATTGCTCTCGACTTTTCGGATAGTCAATGCAAATTCAACATCAACCAGTAATCGAATATAATGCACAACTCACGTCACTGCGTGACCTCATATCCTCTCCAAAAGGACACTGTCACTCAATCAATCAATGATTGCATATAAACAAGTTATACATATTTTCTTATTTCTTTTACCAACCAATTTACTTCGAACATCTTAATTAAAAAGAGCAATATGACATTACATATTTACTGGATCTTTTACCAAAATAAATGGACGTGATTTGCATAGTTCTTTTAAGCGATAATAGTGCCGTAAAACCAGACTAATATCTTCGACACGCACACTCAAGAATTTAATATTTATTTATTAGCTGTTCGGCACTTGGGAGATATATTCCGACAAACAAAATACAAACAATGATTACGGTTACACATTTCATTAGATTTCATCTGTTTTATTACTTTAATCGCAGAAAATACGATCGGGAAAGGATTATGCCGACAGAAACATCTGCAATTATTTTACCATAAACTTTTGCTGAAAACTTTCCCTTTATAAATGTACATATTTTGTAAATTTCTGGTATTGATGTTGTCCGTTTTCAAAGTGGTTCTTTAAAATTTGGAAGCTGCGCTCATATTTTGCAGATATTTGAGTATGTGTTGTGCACACTTGAAGAGGAAATAAATAGGATTAACATTGCTCAAATTTGGACAATTTCATGTCCAATTTAAACTTAAATGACTTTGGTAACCACTTGAATCAAACGGAAATAATGGTTTTATGACAAAGGACCGACTTTAAATAAGAGGTTACAGAATATGTTTGGAGGATGTTATTTTCCAAATTTTAATGTCTCTTTTCACGGCTGAACTCAAAGTTGGATGAGTTAGCCTCTGCAGGGACTTTGGATGTGCGATGCGTCATGATCTTCATGCTGGAAAAAAAATACCCGGTGGGTACTTCTTGGTAATGGGGATGTGCCGCTGGATGAGGTCGCATTTTTCACGACTGGATTGACTATATCAATAGAGTTACTGGAATGGGGTCGCACATTTTCGGGATTTTAAGAGTAAGAAAATGGCCGTTTTTATGCTAGAGACGTTAAAGTTGTCTAAGACGTTAAAGTCGTCTCGAGACGACTTTAACGTCTTAGACAACTTTAACGTCTCTAGCATAAAAACGGCCAGTAGCTTTAAATAAGGATGTGAAAATGGTAAGAACCAAATGTACCAGAATATTTGTATTGTTGTACCGCAGGTAAAAGTTTCAAATGCTCCAAAATGTTTTTAATATAGGTAAAAAATCAAGTGATCTGCATCAAGTTTAACAAATAGATCAATTCGTTTTAGGATGATCTACTTAACAGCCTTTATAAAATGATACATAACCGATAATCGGCCACGGAATAGTTTGAGAGGCCAGTGGTACATACTCAGTAAAATTTCAAACCAAGACCCACACTCGTTTTCAAACTTGGCCTCTAAAAGTTGAACTTGGTTAGCGCTAAGCATAAGTACGCGTCAGAGCCAGACAAACTGGAAATTTCCCCTAAAAATTCAGCTCGAATGACACAATTTAATATTATTGTCTTTCCCTTTGGTTCCATCAGAGTTAAAACGAAAATGACTTTGGTATGTCATCTGAAATGTCATCCTCTTGCAGACTACCATCAATTTACGACCAGAATGATCGAATCCATACACGTTTTCCGATCGATGGATAGGGCATACCTATTTTTCACGCCTGGAGTTGACTAGAAACTGGATTGCGTTTTCAATAGAGCTCATATATTGGTATCACATATTTTCGGTACTTTGAGGTAAAGAAAATTTCTGGTAAGTAGGGATTTAAAAATAATAATAAGAATCGCCGTTAAATTTTGTTACCTTATCACCAAACGTGACTAAGATGGGGTCTATAATTGGCCACAGAATAGACTGTAATGCGGTAGGGGTTCTGATAGGTCAGCGGCCAATACCCACCCCCCGAGCTCAAAACCCATCACCTTAAGCGGTGCATATCTACGTACCTTATGTGCAGGAGTCATGGGCTCCTCATGAATTAATATCTGTCAGACCAGGGGGATCCCGTTTAATAGATGTTCCAGCAGTGGAATAGCGATGTTTTTTATTGAAATAAAATTATTTTTCCGCATAATACTGCCTCCCCCCTCGCCCCGACTTTGTTTTTGCAATCGTTGTGGGTTCATTAGTCGACGGTAAATATGATAACAGAATTATATATAAAATAGAAATAAAAATAATAAATCTGTATTGTTTCACTTATCAAAAGTACTCTACACTCAAATAACCAGAGCACAATAGAATTGTAAAAATGAAGAGTTGCATATATAGATGGTAATGCACTATAAAAGATTATACAATAAACTCAGTTATGCACGCATTCTGATTGGTTCTCACTTATGATCTAGCTATTGGAGGACAGACGTATAGATAACGTCATCATTAAAACTTTTTAAAATTCTTTATTATATAAAACAAATAGTTGCCGTACGTCTGTTCAGTAACAGATCACAGATGACGTCAAAATGGGGTAAGAACAAAAAAGTGGCACACGAGGCGCAGCCGAGTGTCACTGACGATTTATTAAGAAGGGTGTTGACCATCATAAACCGACCTTTACAGGCTCACCATGCTTCACTTTGCATAATCGAAGAATGTTTACATTAAAGAGATCGGGAAACTTAACTTAACCCATAAACTCCCAGAAGTACTCCACATGTAACTTCCCTTCTCAAACTTATCAAGTAGAAGTTACTATCGTGATCTAACAGCAAATTCTTGTAACTAATTTACAAGGAAATGTGTAGTAGCTAGAGGGGAGAATTAATAATCAGATCTTAGGAATTAAAGAGTGAGAGGAATACCCTCTAAATCAGAACGCGGGTTATACAGGTTACCATGTAATGGAAAGGTTGCCTCGGCTGCTATAGAATTGCAAGTTTTTTTTATCCCAGCGAGGTCATCAAAGTTATTTTTAATGAGAACGTCCAATTTTGGAACCGAAATTGAGACTTTTATGATAAATTGAACCTTTGCTCAGTGAATTGCTGGTTTTCTTTTTTTTTTTTCTTTAGCAAAGATTTTAAAAGTTTAATTGGTAAAAGGCCAAGTTCGACATCTTACTGAGATAAACAGGGCTCTTAATAACTTTTTTTTCCCATAAACGGCACCCTTGTCTGTGTCGTAAGGCGAAATCCAAACACAAGGCCTGTTTGCAGGATAAATAAACGGCGGTGAGAGCTCTACATCTATTTAACCATGGCCCACCAAACGCGCACATTTACACAAGCACCATGCTAAAGGTAAATAAATACTTTTTAACTAACAGCTGCAGGACAGCTGTCACCTATTACTTTTCAGTAATTACAGTCATATCTCTTACCAAGAGAAATTTACAAAGAGCAAAGAACTCCCTCCTCCGCAACTCAATGGGCGATCTCTGTCATCAATAAGGTGTCACAATCAGTGGAGCGCTTGCATTCGTAATTGGTTAGTGAACAGTACAGAGGAACACAACATATGTTGCAACCAGGCTTCTTCATCGTTGTCTCAGTATCATCTCAAAATGAACAAAACGTCTTCGTCGTCTTCTGCTAGTGTCAGCCGACGAAACGATACAAATGATGCATATGATCGCACTCAGGGGGAAGGCATTGCACTGTGCAGCGCTTTAACGCTAACATCTATTCTAGTTGTCATGGGAAACTTACTCACCATAGTTATTTTTGCGAAGAACAAAAATATTCGCAAGAAATATTTGTTTCTAGTCGTCAATATGGCGTTTGCTGATCTGTTCCTAGGAGCTTTGAGTTTACCAGTATACATTTACGATGTCGGGTATGAGTTCCACCTATGGACCATGTTCGTTGGAAACTTATGGACCAACAAGCCTATCTTAATTCCCTACATGATCGTTGACACAGCTTTCTCGCAGGCTTCTCTTATTTCTGCAGTGTTCATAACGTGTGAAAGATTTTACGCCATACGTTGGCCTTTTAAGCATCGAATATTATCGACACAAGCATACCGCATAGCTATTTTCCTAGTGTGGATACTAGCTTTCCTTATTTCCGCAATCTGGACCGGTTCAAACCTACTATTTTCTTACAAGCACACTATGTTAATTTGGGGGCCATACACTTTGTTTTTCATTTTAATCACATGTGGCTGTAACATTGGTATTTGGAAAAAGTTTCAAACTGAAAGAGTCGCCGCTTCACATCAAGAAAGTCGAGACTTACAAAACAAGCGCTTAACAAAGACTTTGTTAATTGTATCTGGCCTTACTTTACTCGCTTGGCTTCCGCTAGTTTTGTTAAACTTACTCATGTATGTATGGTTTTTCCATGTACCAAAACGATTTTATCATGCGGTAAACCTTTTCAACTACTTCAACTCTTTTGTCAATCCAATTTTTTACGCATTAAGAATTGCTGAATTTCGACGAGCACTGGCTTTATGTTGTACAGGAAGACATGTGCAAGCAGCTGTAAACACAGAGCTTTCTAAAAGAAGGAAAGAGAGGCACGGAACGACCGCTGAG